ACTTAACCATCATGTGGCGATCCCCGCTATCTGTGCCCCACCTCCGTTTGTCAAGTGACTGGCAGTAAGTGAATTTTACAGCACTCATTAACCACCCACTTGGCCATGCTGTCTAGTTCTCACAAAGCCAGTTGCTGTCAACTCAGTTGACTCCATCTCATGGTGACTTCACGCACGACTTCTGTCCATGGAAACGCTGGTGGTCGATTTTTCAAAGGTAGATTGTCAGTCCTTTCTTCCAAGGTACAGCTGGGTGAGCACAACACAAGAATTCTGTCAGTCCCTCATTGGCATCGGTGGGAACCAACTCACAGGTGACCCTCTATCTGGTCTCTAAGGCTGTAAATCATATGAGAGGAGCTTGTTGTCTTTCTCCTGCAGAGTCTCTGGTGGATTTGAACTGACAGACACTTAGACTTTAGGATAACAGCACAACACTCTATGGACTATGCCACCACAGCTGTCGGATAAGCTCCTTCCGTTTGCCTACTTAACCTCCACATAAATCAGTTTCTTTCCCTACCTCCACTTCTTTCAGATGCACAATCATAAGCATCTAAATCACAAATCATTCTTTTCAGGCCAAGTCGATTGTCAGTGAGTAGATTCCAACACTTGGTAACCCTAGAGGGCGGGGTGGAACTGTGGCCTGGGGCTTCCCAGGCTGAAGCCTGTGCAGAAGCCGCTTTCTCCCTCTGAGCGGCTGGTGGATTCTAGAGGCCAACTTCTCCATTAGCAAGGAAACACTTCACCGCTGTGCCACCAGGATTTCTTTCTCAAATTTTCCCATCAGGGACCTTGAAATCATGTTGACTTTCTCTAAACACCTAAACAGCTCTCGAATCCTAATTCATTTACTCGCTCGTTCAACACACGCAGGCAGCAGGCATTGGTTGCCTAGTATTAAGTGCTTTCCTTTGTTGTGCCTCACAGATAGTGCATTCTTTACAAATTGAAGGTTTGTGGCAACCCTTCCCTGCCATTTTCACGACAGCAGGCGCTCACTTCGTGTCTCTGTGTCACGTCTCAGCAAATCTCCCAGTGTTTCAAAATTTCCCCATAATGCTACTGCACTCCTACTAGACTATAATACCGTGTACATCGGACTCTCATTGATGCTAGGAAAGCGGGAATTTGTGTGCACTGCTGTACTGTGATATTTACTTCATTGTCCCACTGTGGCGCTCTAGAAGAGAAGCTTGACGCTCCAGACACAATAGAAGAATCTAGGCATGCAGTCGGGAACCAGAAAACAAGGTAGATGCCTGTCCTTTTAGGGGAGTGGGCACACAGACACACCCGCACACCAACAAGTCAAGTCACCCCGCAGTTGGTGACAGTTAGCATGGAAATGGCAAAGGGTAGTCTGCTTTAGTTGGAGAGGAGCCAGGAAGTTGCCTTTGTGTCTGGAGCCCAGTGCCCTGCAAGGTGAATTCAGCGAGATGAAGCTGGAGAGGTTTGCAGGCACCTGGCCATCCACGGGAGGTGGGACAGGCCTGGACTGCAAGGATTTGGGAAGGCAGGGAAGAGGTTTAAAGTGGGAAGCTGTGTGATCTCAGCGATGTATGAAGATGCGTTCTTGTACGCTTTGTGAAAAGAGGTGGTGCGAGGACACTAGGCTCTTCCATCTCTAGGGTCAGAGGTGACAATATGAAGAAGGCTGACGGCAGGGTGCACAGGGTGGCGGCAGGGTGGACAGGGTGGCGGCAGTGTGGACAGGCTGATGGAAGTGTAGACAGGCTGACGGCAGGGCGGACAGGCTGGCGGCAGAGTGGACAACGCTAATGCCAGGGTGAAGAAGCACTTTGCTTTCTTCCACCGCTCACCTACTGAGTTAGTCCAGGCTCTGGTTATCCTATTTTGACGTGCACACACCCCCGTCGAGCACACCCCAGGCTCTGCTCTGCATACCTCCTCTGTCCTCTTCCCTTCATTGCTCTACGAAGTTTCTCAGAATGGTTTAGGGTGTAGTCATTTACCCAGAATCCACTTCAACTGCTCTTGACCTCACTTCCTCAGGCATAAAGAGCCGTACTATCTGGGCATCATGAATATGCATTTCCAATAGAGGCTCCACATGAGCTGGATAACACCCTTGTCTTGTCTGTCATTCTCAGAACAAAGGCCTGTGAGATAGGATAGGACTCCACAAAAGATCTGTTCACAAATGGCCTCATTTCACCCACGGTTTGCAGTGAAAGCCTTCAGTTCCTTTATTTTCTTCTCTCTCAGGCCTACAGGAAAGACTATCTTATCACTTTGTCTGGGGAGGTGGGTGGACATGGCGCTAAATGGGTGGTCACATAGCATCACTGTTTTTCTGTTTTGGTGCCCAGGTGGGAGGACTGGGAGGTATCAAGGAAAGTGTTAAGACTGATCCTGGATCCTCATCTGACTAGTACCAGGTCGACAACGTCAGATTTTGATGAATGACTGAAAGAATTCATGCACACAGACAAGGACCCTTACTGAAGGGCAGGCAAAATGGAGCCAGGCTCCTTCTTTTTCTGAACTGGTGTCACGAGGCAATGAATGCTTTCCACCAGCATGAGGAAAGACCTCTGTAACTAAGACTGCTTTTCAGGCAATGTGTTCCAAATGAAGAAGGACTCCACTAGTAGGGAAAGACATTTTATTTCCAGGCTTCTACAAACAATAGAGTCTTCAAGTAGAAAAGATCAAAAGAAAAGCAAAAGGAAAACAAGTATTTTTTAACTATTGAAAAGTTGACAGCCTTTTTTTAAAAGAAAAAACTTAAACATAAAAATGTGAAAATGTACTTGTCAAATCTAGTCCAAATACATTCCAAGGGGAAAAAAAGGATCATCTACGTGGCAGGGTTACGTACAGCTGAGTACTTGTTTAAGTGCTGTGCACATTCCTTTTGAGTTTTTTCTGCCTTTCAAATGCAATTGGAGATCTGTGCAAATCTAGCAAAATATTCTTTGGATTACAAAAAAATATAGAAAAATGAACAAAACCTGCAATTATGGAAGCATTGAGAATGTGCAATCCTTCACTGCAAAGAAAGATTCTAAAGTGACATTGTCCATAGACTCTATTCCATTGAAGTGTTCAACCCAATTTGATTTCAATGCGAAGTCAGATGGAAGTGAGCACTTCATAGAACCTTGTCTCTTTGTATGCAGTTTAACTGAGTCATAAAAATAGCAGGTAGCATGAAATCAAGAAATGTTTGAAACCAACTTTCCTACTAAGTTAAGGAAAAAAAAAGAATTACGTAAAAGTCGTCTGCATGGCAAGCAGAAATGTGTGCCCTGTGTGGAAGTGAGCGAGGGAACGAGCTGGTGGCACTTTCCCCCACCCTGTATTGCTAGGTTTTGGCCTTTGGCCCGAAGGAGGGAGGAGGTGGCATGTCCATTTCAGAACCCCCAGTGCCCAGGAAGTCAGTTGGGAGTGCATGAGACTGGAGGGAGACAAGTGACAATTACCTTTGGCCCCTAACATGTCCCCTCTGTCCTCAGTCTGAGCTAAAGACCCAAAGCATATGTTAAAGCAAAGGCTTTAAAGTAAAGCTTTTTTGCTTTCTCTCTTTTCATACTAAAACCTGCAGTCATATCAATTCAAGAGGAGGTAAAATTATAAGAAGGAATGTCAGTAAGCAGTTTCAAGGCTTCGAATCATAATGACATTCGGGCAGAATCAACCTAAGGACACACAGAACAGATAAGGAGGGTGCAGAGTCACCTGGGACAAGTTCCAGTTCCTGAGTGGAACTCCTCCCACCTGCAAAGGGTCAATGTGGGGAGTGATATTAAAAACGTGATCATAAGAGCGTGACAGCTTCATTCCATCCTGGATTCATCTCTCATAACCATGGTATTTCTGATATACAAGAGAAATGTATATTACATAATATATATTGTGGAAGTACCGACTGACTACTTAGGTCTTTAACAACCTTCCTTGTAAGAAGATATGTGGAAAAAAGAAGTTAGGAGTCTAACATTGAGAATGTACCCCCCTCAAAAGAAGAAAAAAAGTTTTACATCAAGTTACAGACTCTTATCTGTGGGGGAGAAAATGTTGATAAAACATATTTGATTTTAAATAAACAATAAAAGCAATGGAAAGGCTACAGATAGATCATAAATAAAATTATTCCAAGGTCACAATTATCTTAAATTAGAAATATAAATGAAACATTAGAAATACGAAATCCTTTTTTTCAATGTTAAGAATCAAACCCAGAATTAAAAAAGAATCTTTTTTTTTTATTTCAAAGGGTGCTTCTTATATTGAAGCTCATATTAAAGCAACAGTACAATGTTCATAAAATATAAGGGTGATGCTGTAACATTTCTTACATGTCAGAATACTGATATTTGTATGTATACTAAAATAAGAACTTTAAAATTGTACAAATAGATACATTAAAAATGACATAGAAATAGGGCTTCTCTCACTGAAACAAGACAGTTATATCTGGCACGTATTAGTTTAAGATGAAAGGAGAAGCGAAAAGATTTACAAGAATCAGCAGTAACAAGATTGATGCTTAAGAGACATAATTGTACATCGTATTGTACATACATCGTATGGGTTTAAGCTGGCTGAATATTATATATTTCAAGTTTAAAAATGCACTACATAGAGAGTGTCCAGAGTTTAAGGCGAAATTACAGCTCAGAACTGTTGTCCTTTCTAATTTTGTGGAAGCTTCTTTGACAAATTAAAAAATAAAAGAAGAAAAGAAAGATGTTCGTAACACAGAAACGATTTCCCTTCATTGTAAAGTTCACTGTCCGACTTCTCCTTCCCTTAAATATTTTGTACGCCAAGCGTTTTTTGTTTTGTGTTTTTTTCCCTCTAGCAAAGCTGATAATCAGCTTCAGCATTTGCCTTGTGTGTGTGTGTGTGTGTGTGTGTGTGTGTGTGTGTGTGTGAGAAAAGGTACTTCACAGTATTCACCACTTTGATGTCCTTGGAGTTTTTATTAAACGCATCCTCTCTGTAAAACATTGCTTGTTTTAAATGAGCCTTTCCTTGATTTTTAAAAAAATACCTGTTTACATATCTTCTAGATTCTTCAGAACGCCAGACACAGTTCTTAAGGCCAAATTTGTATCGTTATTGTTAAGAATCGTCATCAAAAGTGTCTTTGGAACCATACAAGTCTGCTAGTTTCTTAAAACGAGGTCCCCAGTTCTGTAGATAGTCATAGTTCAAGTCTGAATCTGTGGTGGCCGACTCCAAGGAGCTCAGGGACCCGGCCACCGAGCCCCGTCCCTCGTAGCCATAGATTTGGATGGAGTCATAAGGAGGGGCCGTGGGGTCATTGTCTGCCTCCTGTATCCTCGTGTTGATGAAGTCGTCCACGTCCACGCTGTTGGGGGCTGGCCGGAGCCCGGGCCTGGGCATGTACTGATACTCGGGTTTTATGTCTTTGCGAGGGATAAATCCATTGATCCCATCAGGGTTCTGGAGCGTGGCAATATCAAAGGCTTCAGTGTCTTCCTCCCCACCTCCTTCATCATCGTAAGTAATGATGTTCTCACGGACATCTTCCTCCTCGAAGACAATGAGTGGCTCTTTCTTCTGCCTTCTCAGGGTCACAAACAACACAACGATGACTACGGAGAAAGAAGGAGAAAAAGTGAGTTGGGATGCATCCCGTGTTTCTGTCCACCTGTTCCCCCAAACCCACACAGGCAGGCAGCTGCCTCCCTAGATTAAAGATAAGACTATTTAGAGACGTTAACCTCATGCCCCCCCCCCACCACGTTATAAAAGAAGAGGTGATGCCCAGCACTATTCTGGAAGCCTGGGTGACCAGCAATGACCGCTGTGGTTGCTAGACGCCCTCTATTTGGTCTGACTCAGGACAATTGTAAGCACAACAGAATGAAACACTGCCCAGGCCTGCTTCCCATTCAGTCAGCGCTGTGCTGGAGTCCAGCGTCTCTATCCACCGAGGCCCCCTCGAATTTACCATGCAGGACGCTCTTCTCCAGGGACCGAATGAGCCCACTCCACACTAACAAGAAATGTTACAAATGACTTCGTTGACCTCTTTTCAGACCACATTATCGACGAGAGGAAGGAGGTAAAGACCCCCGAGGAGACAGACCTTTTCCCATTTATGCGAACTTAGAAAAACTGCATCAGCTGAAACGCCAGACGAAGCAATCCCATCTCTCTCTGGGAGTAGGTGGGGTGTGTGCACCATTAAGCATGGGCAATCGGGGATGAATGAGCAGAGTCATTAGCAAGGAAAGCCCCGGTTCTGCTTATTTCTTTATTGATTGGCCCCTCCTCACACCAGAAGGTTCTATATGTCCACCAGGAGTCTCTCCCACATGCCCAGTTAGATTGAAGATGGACTGGAGTAAGCAGAGTGGGAGGCGCACTGGGTTGACCACCGCTCAGTGGGGGTCAGGCAGGGTCTCCCTCGGTTTGTCCTGGCCAGCACCTCTTCCTGGGCCATTTCAGACCCCTTTCTTTGCTCGGCTGGCACCTTCTCATCTCATCTTTAATCACGGTAGCCTTTCCCCTGGTGTCTTATCCCGCTTCCAGACAGGGGTATATATGCATTTGTCCATGTGACCATGCTCACAGTATTTATCACGTAACTTGCAACTTCAATCTTAAACAGCAAAGATATCACTTGAATAACTAAGGTGCACCATGGTCTTTACAACTGGCTAATGTCTATTTTGGAGGAACGTTCCTCTAAGTCATAGAGTACTCTTCTGTCAATTTTTCTGTGCTGAGGGAATCTGGGTTTGCTGTGACATTGAACCTTGTGCCATTGGGGTCTCAAATGCCATAATGGCTGCCTGTGGTGGACAGTATTTGGTGAAGATCCCAGTTTAAGGCGGGTTTAGAAGCAAGAGTGGCATCCACTTCCTAAACCACATGCCTCTGGAAACTCTATGAACTTGGAGAAACAATAGTTAGAGAAAGGCTTCAGGTCTTTTGGGCAGAGTCGTTACGAGTCGTGCACAACTTGACGGCAATCAACAGCAACAATGTATGTGGAAGCTCTGGTGTCCTAGTGGTAAGAAACTCCAATGTAAAGCCAAAGGCAGACAGTTCAAATCCACCAGTAACTCTGCGGGAGAAGGATGGGCAGTCTCTTCCTGGGTGATTTACTGCCTCTGAAAAGCCACTGAAGGGTCAGTTCCCACTTGAGGACACAAAGCAACAACAACAATGTAAGTATTAGAGCTGAACAATAAAAAAGGAAAGCAGAGAGGAACCGAGGCTTTCGAAATGTGATGTTTGTAAAAAATACGGAACATGCCATTGTTGTTCGTTGCCATTGATTCATAGACAACTCATAGCGACCCTGTGAATGAAGGACCTGGGCACTGTTCATAGAGCTTCCCGAAGCAAGCCATTGCGGAAGTGGTTGTCACTCCTGCTTTGACTGGCAGAAAAACGAGCAAATCGATCTCAGAAGAAATACACGCCGGCTCTCCTTAGCAGTGAGTGTGGGGAGGCGTGGAGTCAGTGCCTCTCTACACACCATCACGAAAGACCAATTCTCAGGAAAATAGATCCTGTTTGATGGAGTCAGAGAAAAGGAGGAAACTCTCAACCAGATTGATGGACACAAGTGTTACAACTGGGGATTCAAAACACATCCACGACCATAAGATCGTGACGATGGCATAGGACCAGGCGACACTTTGTTCTGTTGAAAGTCACCGCGAGGTGAGCCGACTTGACAGCAAGTAACTACAGTAACGTATTATTAATTTCTCTAGGCCCTCTCATATTCTGATCCCTCATATTTTGAATATTCAAGAGGGCTGTACCCATCACCCTTCTCTTGCAGCATCTGACACTTAATCACCTCCTCCAGGACGGCACCTCTGACCTTCCCAGGTCATAGCATCAGGCTCGTTCTACCCACTACATGGTCGCAGTCCTCATCACAGCCCTCACCTTGATCCTCACCAATCTGTCTGCCCTGGATCCTTACCATGATTGGCTGGGAGCTTATTATGAGTTTACATAGCACTTTTTTTGTCACCCGTCACTCTGAGGTCTAATGTCCAGATAGCACTCAACAAATATTTGTCAAAATGAACACATCTGCTTTCCCTGATTAGATGAAACGACTTCATTCAGTGAAACATGAAACTTGGTAGCAAATGCACAGGTTTGTGCTCAAACCCATGTAGGGTGTTGAATTGAGCTTTTGCCACTGACTTGGCTCTGTGACACTGGAACAGTGGCTCAGGTCCAGCAATGGCTGATGCTTTAAGCGTTAGCGTTTTCTAACTCAATGCACAGATGGAATAAAAAGACGCCGGGGATCTCATCCCGCCAGAAAGTGTAGGAGAGGCTGTTGAGTCCCATGGGCCCTGCACGCAGGCAGATATCACACAACGTGAGCAGAGGTGGGCTCAGGGCGCTGTTTAGATGGGTTTTACCTTCCAGCTGCTTGAACCTCTCAGATACATTTTCTGCCTTGTAGCTCTTCCCTCTGCCCCTCACCCTTCACATTCTTCTTTTGGAACAAATGGTTTCTCATCCACCAAGGCTGTACCACTAACACCCACTGCTGCAGAACCACCTCTCATGTGCACGCAGTGCGCTGGGGAGGCTTTTTCTCAGGCAGCCCGTTGATGTCTAACAACTTTCGCATTATAAACTCTGTTATGAACTACTTAAGTGGCCTTCCTGACCCAAACCCCACTATTTTCTAGTTGATTTGCACTCACAGAGACCTTATAGGCAGAGCAGAACTGCCCAATAGGGTTTCCAAGGCCTGGTGGAAACAGACTGTCTCATCTTCCTTTCTTGGGGTGGATCGATCTACTATCTTTCAGTTGACACCTGAGCGCTTACAACTGGGCCACCAGGGTCTCTTCTGGTCCCACAGTGCCATAGAGCAGATGCAAGCAGAAAGTGTCTGTTTCTAGGACAAGCTGTCATCACAGCATGCAGCGTGACTCCCCGTAAGCAAGCAGGTCCCATACTAGAGAAATGAGTGCGGCCCCTGGAGGGAGGGTCCGGCTGCCTGGTTTGGTCTCATCCGCAGGTGAGCTGAGCCTTACCGAGGAGGATGACGATGCAGGCCAGGATGGCGATAAGTGCGCCCGTGCTGAGCCCAGCGTTGAGGATGTAGGCCTCGGCATTGCAGGAGAGCAGCCCCCCGTGCACGTCACAGCCACAGACCTTGATGGTGAGGGTGTTGGTGCTGCTCATGGGCGGGATGCCCCCATCGCTGATGACGATGGGCAGGAGGTAGAGATCCTGCTTCTGCCGGCTGAACCCTCCGCGTCGCGCATACACCCCTGCGGTGTTATCTGTCGGGAGAGACAAGGCGGGGTGCACTTGTATCAGGACCATTGGGAACCACAGCGTTGGCATTTCTGCAATAGGTGTGGCTTATCTGAGGGCACGCTCTGCACCGTGAAGGCTAACAACCCACACCTTTCCCCAGGCACCCCTCCCTCTATGCATCGGTGGGAGTCACAGCCACTTGGCAGGAGGAGAGCACAGAATCATCTCTCCTCATGATTGTGGAACAGAATCCAAAACTCCGTTCCTTTCTACTTGGCAAGTGCCTTCACTGATGAGCTGGGTATGCAGTGTTCTGCCAGGATGTTAGCCCCATAAATGCCACCAGCATGGACACACACCATCTATGACACCCTGGGACATAAGTCAAGATAAATGCGAAAGAAAGGGATTAAAAAAAATAAACCAAAAAGTTTCTTTTGAAATAATGAGTGTTCACCTACAACCAGGAAAGGATAAAATAGATGAATGGGACCTTCTAAGAATCAAGTCCCTGTGCACATCCAAAAACTTCTCCAACAGGGTAAAAAGAGAAGCCACAGACTGGGAAAAAATATTTGGTAATGACATGTCTGATAAGGGACTTATATCTAAAATTTATAGTATACTTGAGCACCACGACAAGATAAAGGTAAATAACCCAGTTGCAAAATGGGCATAGGATGTGAACAGACACTTCATCAAAGAAGACATTCAGATGGCCAACAAACACATGAAGAAGTGCTCAGAGTCCCTAGCGCTAAGAGGGATGCAAATCAAAACAACTATGAGATATCATCTCACCCCAGTAAGACTAGCAAATTCAACAAAGCAGCAAACCTCAAATGCTGGTGAGGTTGTGGAGAAACTGGAACGCTTATTCACTGTTGGTGGGAGTGTAAAAATGCTGTGCCATTTTTACACTTCCACTATGGACGGCAGTAGTCTCAAAAAGTTGCAAATACAAATACCATTTGACCCAGCAAATCCACGACTGGGAATACAAGTGCCCATCAACAAATGAATGGATAGAGAAACTGAAATAATGAGTCTTCGGCTGTTTAGGAAGCAGCTTATATATTTATAATGGTTAAAAATGTTGGCAAAAGTTATTGGTGAGAGATTGCACCGCAGGGTTACTGTAATTCATAGCACGAGACTGTACCAAGAGGAGCACTGCAGGAGCCAATGCTGTGTGTTGTGTATAAAACAATGTAAACACAGATATATATGTTGCATGTAAATGTGCATGTATTCACAACAATCCAAAACAAGGCTGTTTCTCCCGTGAGCCCTCTCCACAAAGCATAGCCTATCTGTGGCCAGTTATTCTTTTTTTCGCCGTTGTGTAAGAGATTCCCAAGTCCACTCTCAAACTTTGCTCAAACTCTCTGAATCCATGTATGAGTCACAAAGCAAAATTTCTTATTTAAAGGAAGAGTATTTTTACACAAGCAGTTCTATGCATTCTTTGAAACTCAAAAGCTGTTGCCCACGAGTTACTCATATTGCACCTTCTGTTTAAATCATTTCCAAGTTCTTTCCTTCTGCCAAAATGAGCTGCACAGTGCGTCCCGGCAGTCACCTCCCTCAGGAAGACGTAGCCTCGGGTGTGGTGGTGGTTCAGGGTGGAATTCTCACCTTCCACGCAGGAAGCCTGGGATGGATTCCCATACCTTGTGGTCAGACGGCAGCCGTCTGTCTGGGAAGGCCACTGTGGTGCTATGAAGCTGAACAGGATTTAGCAAAAGCTTCCAGACTAAGAATCGGAGGAAAGGCCTGAATCCAAGAGGTCCTTATCCACACTGATCACAGGGGAAGTGCTAGGCCAGACACTTGTTTTCCTCCCAGTGTGTGAGGTTATCAGGAGTCAGAAGCTGACATGAGAACAGCTCACAAGAACTGACTTTGTCCCCAGGATCATTTCCTGTCCCTTCCCACTTGTACCCATCCAGCCTGAAAGGAAGAGCTCACTTCTGCTCCCTAAGTATTTCACCCTCTTCCATACACCTTGTATCCTCTGCCCTCCTGCCCCAAACAGCCTTATCATGACACCACCTAGCTTGATGAAACTAAAGAGGGCTTGAAACACTAGCTGCAGAAGATCAAAATCTACAGTCTTCCCTATGTATTACATCTCAGAAGCAAGACAAGAAAAATCCTCACTCCTGGGCCAATAGGCAATACAGTGGTAGAAGGAGAAAAGACTGATGTTATCAATGGTTTCATCTTACTTGGATTCACAATCAACATGCAAGGTAATAACAGTCACCAGGCTGCATTGGAAAATCTGCTGTCAAAAGACAATGGCACAATGTATATGAATTTTGTATGCAAACCAATAGAAAATAAAAATAAATTGTAAGAAAAAAAGACATGTTGCCTCGGAAAATCTGCTGTCAAAGACTTTTCCAAAGTGTTTCACAGCAACGATGTCAGTTTAAAGTCTAAATTGCACCTGATCCACGCCACGGACTTCTTTATTATTTCCTACATATTTAGAAGTTGTACAATGAATAAAGATGCCAGAAGAATGGATGGCTTTGATATGTGTTGTTGGAAAAGGGCACTGGATATTCCATGGGCTACAAAAAGAACAAACAAGACTGTTTTGGATTAAGTGCAACTAGGGTGATCCAAATTGGCAAGGATGGTGAAAATTTGCTCACATACTTGGGGCATATTGTCAGGAATTTATTCCTTGAGGGGTGAGGGAAGGAAACCCATCATGCAGGGAAAAATGGAAGGTCAGAGAGAAAGAGGAAGACCCTCGACAAGATGGTTTTACATAGTGATTGTAACAATGGGCTTGATCATATCAGAGATGGTACAGGTGAGGGCTCATTTCAGATCTGTTCATAGAGTATAAGGAGTCAACCTGATGGCACCTACCAACAACAACAACCTATAACAGATGGACTTCTCAAATCTCACAACTGAGCTCAAGGCCATCTTCTCAGGGTGGCCTTGCTGGACCTCCCCCACTACCTTCATTGTCACTGACAACACCCATGGTCCATCCCCATAACTACCTGTTAAACCAACCCACTCGTCTGTCATTTTGTGCTGATATAACAACCTGATCTGGCGTCTAACAGACTGAGATTCTTGAGAAGAGGGAATTTTAGCTGATTCATTTCCTTCCTACATAGAGCAGACAATAAATATTTGTTGAACAAAAGGCATGACTATCTGGGAAAGGTTTAACCAAAATGCTAGATGTTGGTGTTTATGTATAACTACATTCTTCAGACTTTCGTAACCTGAACCCCAAAATACTTCTTCATCATGTTTTCTGCATAACTTCATCCACCAAAAGTACTTTTCCTGGATCCATTTATTTATTTATTTTTTTTTTTCCTGTTAGGAAAAATCAGTGGATATGTTGCTCTGATGTTTAACACTGTGACACTGATGTGTCAGATGCAATAATGGTTACCCATGGTGGACAGTGTTTGCTTGTGTTCCCTAATTAAAACAAGCCTGGAAGCAGGAGCAGCATCCACTTCCAAAAATGGCTTGCCTCTGGAAACTCTATGAACAGTGCTCAGGTCTTTCGTTCATAGGGTCATTATGAGTCGTCTACGACTCGACAACACCTAACAACAACACCACGTTGAATATGATCCACTGTATGTCTGCACACACACACACACACACACACACACACACACACACACGCACACATGCACACATGCACACACAAAATCATATCCCCTCATATGCCCGAGTCCAGTTATAGGGTAGAAATCAGTATGTGGCTTACAGTAGATTCTCTATTAGAAAGAACTCTGATGGTGTATTATTATAGAAGATGGGCTACTAATCAAAAAGTCAGTGGAGAAAGATGAGGCTGTCTGATCCCATGAAGATTACAGGCCGCAAACTCTGTGGGTCAGTTCTACTCTGTTTAATAAGGTCACCAGGAGGCAGAGTCAACTGGAGCCATTGAGTGTGAGCTTCTGTATTGTGACCAACATGATAGCTAGTAGGTTTTGAGGAACTAGGCTCTACCACTAAAATCAAAGAGAAAGACTCAACATGATAGACTGACATGATTTTATAAACCCAGGGAGATTGTGAGGATGGCACAGAATTGAGAGAGGGGGGGCAGTCTTTCTTCTCAGCCCAGGGTTACAAAAGAGAACGGATTCATTCAACGGTGCCGCCAATTCACAGGTAAGTAGTTTGATTCCACCAGATGCTATAGGGGAGAAGGATGGCAATCTCCTCCCTTGCAAGTTACTGCCTCTGAAAACCTGCTGGAGGGTCAGCGATAAGTTTGTTCAGACTCAAAGTTACACAACAACATCCATTATTTATTAACACTTACGATAGGGGGAAAAAATCTTAGAATTTTCAAGTAAAATTTTTCTTTTTGCATGTTAGATCGGGGATTTATTGTTACTGTGAAACACAAAGCAAATACAGAAAAGATAAAGTCATCATGCTTGCGAGGGTAGAGGGACAGTGCAGGAGGGGAAGACCCTCTGTGAGGTGGATTGATCCAGCGACTGGGGTAATGGGAGTAGAGAGAGCGCGTTTGGCACAGGATAGAGCAGGGTTTAGGGCTGTTGTACATGGGGTCGCTATGAGTCACAGGAAACTCGATGGCACATAACAACAACAACAATCTCATCTAGGTATTGGAGAAGGCGAACTGTATTAGGTTGTCTGACCCCAGAACCATTGTTCACTTTGCTACAATTTAATGAAAATAAGGAACGATAGCTATTCTTCATTCTTTTTATGCTTTCTGCCTACTGTAGGCTTGATATCTAGTGATCTTTAGCAAAGAGAAAACTTATACATCTGAAAAACAGTAAAAAAAATAAATGAAAAACCAGACCAATCAAATGACATGTTAATAGGAAATTATCTTTCTTAACTGTTCTCTCTTTTCTGCACTGTAATACTGTCTCACATTTAGCGGTTAACAAAACAATGCACAAACATATAAGACTTTATTTCAAAACAAGCTATCCTTTTCTCCCTTTAAATTGGTGTGAGTGCAAAAACAATTTTC